GCTTTCATTCTCTACACTGGTGATTTACAAATTCTCTCACCCTTTGTTGGTCAGGGTGACAAGAGGTTTATCAGCTTTATTTCTGATCTTAACCCATTTCCATGGTGCTCATTAATACTGCTTTGTATGGTAATATATTTTGTTCAGACTATGTTGTAAATTTAGCCTCTCTAACTTTATTTTAATTAGGTCCACTGTGGTGATTTTCCCACTGTTTTATACCCTTACTTATATGAGGTTGTTTCCTTGGAGACAACCTATAATTTGTTGCTTTTTAGAAATTGTGACGTTCTCTGCCTTTGATGTCATGGTTCATCTGGCTGGGTTTACTCTGCTTCTTGCTATGTGTTGTCTATTTGCTTGTTGTTTCTTCTTCTCGGCTTCCTCTTGGTTTGAGTATCTTTATGACTATATGTTTATGACTTTGTTTTCTACTGGCTATTTTAGATAGAGTATATATCTTTTTCTTATCGTTGTCTACTTTTAAATAATTTATTCATCTCTTATCCCTGTCCCTTCCTCTCTATCCGTGCCATCTAGGTTTGGTTTCATAATTGTGATGCAGTTATTTTTACATGTGCTATAACCACCCCATTTATTATTATATTCACTTTAAACTGTCAACATTTTTTCTTTGTTTTTTTTCTCATTTAAATCTCGTGTATAGTGTGTATGTGTGTGTGTGTGTGTGTGTGTGTGTGTGTGTGTGTATGTGTGTGTGTGTGTGTGTGTGTGTGTTAGGAGGCTGCACAGGCCAGAGGACAATTGTAGATACATCCCCAGGAATGCTGTCTACCTTCTTTGAGATAGGGTCTTTCAGGGACTTGGAGTCCACCAAAGAGGCTAGACTGGCTGGCCAGCAAGCCTCAGGGATCATCCTTTCTCTACTTTCCCAGTGCTGGGATTACAAACACATGTGCCACCATGGTTAGCATTTTTGCCTGAGTTCTGGGGATCAAATTCAGGTCCTCATACTTTTGAGGCACTGACTCACTGAGCCATCTCCCCAGCCCTCATTTGCTTTCAAAGAGACAGAAAAGCAAGGAAAAGATTCTCAAACATGTTTACGAATTTCATTTATAGATTACGTCAATACTTTTGGTCAATCCAGGCACCAGTTTGGCTTCACTGCTGTTCTACCTGAAGACGCTCTGGCATTTTGTACCAGAGGGCTGATAAAGTTCTTATTTTACTTTAATTTTTTGAAAGACTTTCTGAGTACATAATTCTAGAATGAGCTTCTCCCTAATCCATGCTGTGTTTTAATGTCACTGCTCCACTGCCTTCCGGTTTGCTTTGTTTCTGACAGAAGTATACTGTCAGCCAGTTGTTGGGTTTTTTTTTTTTTTTTTGGCCTGTAATGTGCTTTATCTCATTTCAATAGATTATGAGGAAAATACTATCATAATATCTTCAATATGTTTTTCTTCTCTCTTATGAAGACTATAATTATAAATAAATCAAGTCATTTGAGGTTGTCTCAGACCTGATTCATTGTTCATCCCCCCCCCCCCTTTAAGTGTATATTTATTTGTCAGCAAGTGAAAACAACATAGTCCTGCTATAAGTCCTGGCTCCCCTTGAACTCATGATCCTTCTATCTCAGCCTCTTGAATGCTGGAATTAAAAGTTACACTACCAATCCCAGCCTGTTCACTTTTTAAATATTTTTAATTGTATTTTTTAATTTAAATAGTTTTTATAGTGAATTTTTCAAGTTCACTAAAATTAGCCGTATATCATAAACAATTTAATTTCAGGGTTGGAGAGATTATTCTGCAGTTAAGAGCACTGGCTGCTCTTACAGAGGCCCCAGGTTTGGTTCCCAGCACCCACATGGCAGCTAACACCCATACTTATCCCCTGTGGGCACCAGGCACGCATGTGGTACACTTACATACAAGCAGGCAAAACATTCAAACATAAAGTAAAAGTAAATAAATAAAATTAGTTTCTTTTTCATCTTATCAATAAAATGTCAATGCTGGCACATTTGCTTTGATGGTCAGATGACGACTTTCCTTCTCCTATTTTTCCAGTTATGTTTCATGCTGACTTAAAATGCAGCCGTGCCCCTCATTGATTTGATCGTGTCTGTGTTTGTCTTCCCCGCTGATCGCCTGCGTTTGTCTTCCCCGCCCTTACACTTTCTCTTTTCTGGAGCTCAGTGAACAGTTGTTTCGTTACCTCAGTTCAAGGTACGCTTAGTACTCTGATTGCCCGGTTACACATCTGAAAAGATTTGCAGCCATGCCTCGTAGTTGATAAGACTTCTCTAGACAGCAGAGATGCTATGGCATTGCACTTGGCTTGAGGAGCCAGGATTGGGAAAGCTTCGGTAAGCTCTTCGGTAAACTCTGTCTGAGTTTCAAAGCGACTTGCCAAGGGTCTTCCTCCAGGTAGAGGCAGGCACTGTGCACTTCAGGCAGGAGGTGTTATCTCATCTGGACAGTTTGGGGTCAGGGCACAGAGCTCTCAAGATTGAGTGTGCTAAGACAAGTGCCAGGACCCCGCAGTGATCTAAGTGTGTTAGGGTGGGGAGCTGCGGCGGGCAAAACTATTTCTAATCCTTCTGGGGTTAGCTCTTATGCTTTGCTTCTCTCTAAGTATTTAGTGTGTCCTTTTGAGATTTCCAGGCTCCATCTGCAGAGTCAGTAGGAACCAAGAGGACAACATTTTCTTTCTTTTTCTTCACTATTTTTTAATTGAGCTTTTTAAATTTCATACATTTCCCATTCAAATCCAGACCCCCTCCCCCATCCATGCCTCTCCCTCTTCCCCCCACTGAACCCTATGCACTCTGCCATACATGCTGAATCCTAGTCATTCAGGTGTTTGCACCTAAATGTCCTTCAGTGTAAATGCATCCCCTGGAGTCTAGTCAGCCCATCTAGTGGTCATATGTAACTCATATTCTCCCTCACCCAGCAGCAATCAGTCTCAAATAGCTCTCAGTCTAGTGCTGTCCCACCGCCTATTTCTCACCTCCCCTTTGGGCCTGTGTTTAATTGAGCTGACATGGGTATTGAGTTCAATGCTACTGCTGCCACAGACTCACATGAACAAGCCTCCAGTGGCCTGGAAGCCTCCACCTCCCTGTGTTCATGAACCAGCCCTGGCTCTTACAATCTTTCCTCCTCCTCTTCTGCAATGGTCCCTGAGCCGTGGGTGGGTGAGGTTCCATATAGAAGTCCCATCCTACACTCTACAGTCTCTTATTCTCCCAAACTTGGCCAATTGTGGCCATCTGTATGCATCACATTCTGATGTACATGGAAGCCTCACTGGTGAGAGTTGAGGGGTGCATTAGCCATCTCTCTGCCCCTTATTCTGCTATGTTCCATGAGCCTTGGTTGTAGAGAATCGGCTGCAGATGTGTCGCCTAGTACCAGGCGTCTCCCAGGCATACGTTCTTTGTGCCTGACCAGGTATGAAACTGCAGTAGCCTCCATCTGTTGCACAAAGAAGCTTCTTTGATGAGTGTTGTATGGCATGCTTGTCACTCTAAGGGAGGTCTCTTCTATCAGGCACTGCGTTCCCTGCCAAGCAGCACCCAGGTTTACATATGCATTAATGTTCAGACACCCTACGTGCATTTCTCATAGAGTTTCTAGGGCATCACTTTTCCCTCTAGGCTTCCTTCCCCCTGAGATCCACTCATCTCCACTCTTTTTTCTCCCATCTGGCTTCCCTCCTCCCTCCCTCCCTAGTCACCGTGCCCCATTATCCCCACCCTCTGCCCAATACCTCCCAAACCCGAACCCCTGCCATCTTTCCTCTCCTGACTTCCCTCCCTCTCCCACACTATGGTTCCTCGCATGCCCCTCCCTCCTCTCCTCCCAGCCCATTACTTCCACTTCCTCCTCAGGCTAGAGAGTGTTTGACTAAGTGAAGTGACACAAGGCAGAAAAGCAAGCGAAGCATGGTCTCCCTCATTTGTGGATTGTAGCACCGAGCCCTTATATGTGAGTATACGAATTCTGATGTAACACCAGGAGCCAGGGAAAGGGAAAGTGTATGTGGAGGTAAAGGAAAAGAAACACCCTGAAAGGGGGACAGTAGGGGGCATTTTCTTTATTCCTGTTGGCAGTATAATTGAAGGGAAAGAAACTCAGAGGAAGGGAAATTTCAGGGACAACGGACTACATTCCCTGTCTATCAGAAATACTTCGTTTTAGAGATGACTTTGGAGAATCTTCATTTTGTTCACTTGGGTGGTAATTTTCATAGGAAGGGACACTGTTCTATCCCTGCCCTGCACCCCCACCAGCACGGTCTCTGTCTCATCTTTGCACAGCCTTGATCTCTAATGGCTAGCAACTAATGACTAAGATGAATGGAAAGGAAAATTAAGGTTTCTTTCTCATTCAAAGGGATATTTGCATTTCAAATGAACATTCTGAAAGATGAAGCAGTATTCTGAGCTTTAGGAATTAATGCTTATGGGTGTAATTTCAACTGGAGGAGATCTAAGGGACCAGGACCTTGTCCCAGGCCTCTCACACTGTGTCACTGCTTCTGTAGATTTCTGTGCTTTTATACAGCTTTCTTACCGTAGCCTGAACTGGATTTTAAATGTGTTGTACAAAGATGAAATTTAACATGAGTATTTGCAGTAAATCTATCAACTTAGCATCTGGAAAAAAAGCTTAATTATATATTTATGAGAAACATTTAGAGAGTATTTATGTGTCATCGAATTAAAGTTGATATGAAACAGTTATATTTGTATGTGTGTGTGTGAGAGAGAGAGAGAGAGAACACTTTCACTACTTTCGCAGTTTATAAAACTGAACTTGGCCTATGAGATGTGCATTTTACACGTTCCTAAGCCAGGATAAAAATTCTTGAACTGTATGTTCCTAGATGTTTTGAAGTGAGTATGATATTGAATTATTTCTGCTTGATTTCAGAACTAAACTGAGGAGATTACAGAAGCGACCTCAGAACACTCTGTGTGAGACCTTTCCTTTCTAACTGCACTGACATTTAACTTGTAGATATTCAGAGGATGAATACCTTCAGATCATCACGAATATACAGAGCTGCCCATGGGAACGGCAAGCAGAGGAATATGAGAATTTCAGGTAAAAAAGACATTTCATAAATATGAGTGAAAAATATCTGTGCATTTGCTTTTTAGAGGATAAGAGCATCATGTTGATGAAAGGAGAAACCAACTGACAATCAGAAAGACTAAGCTCTAAGGCCTCCATGTGACAATATGGCTGGTGCTCTGTACACATTGCTGACAAATTGGAATTAACTCTAAAGAAATTGCAGTTGAAAAGCAAATATTTATGTTGTTCCCTGTGTTTAAATTGATGTCAGTTTTGTGAGTGATTTGCATTTGACATATATATGTGTATATATATACACTTACATATATATTGTATTTACATATATTGTAAATAAGCTGTAATAACATTAGGGAATTTTTGGAAAAGCATGGAAGAAAGAGAATCACCCATTATCCCATCACTTTAGAACAAAAGATAGCTCAGGGGATAAGAGTACTTGCGGCTCAATCACCAAGACCAAATTCAAATTTCCACATTAAAAAACTGCCTGGTCCTGAGCACCTGTAACGCTAGTGCTGTGGGCAGTGAAGACAGAAGGATCACTGGGGCTGGCTGGCCACCAGCCTAGCTCCCAAGTTAGGTGAGAAACCTTGTCTCCATGAAAAAAAATGAGAGAAATAGAGCAGGACACTTGGCATCCCCCTCTGGCCTCTATGTGCATGCATAAGCATGGGGGGAGGGAGAGAGAGAGAGAGAGAGAGAGAGAGAGAGAGAGAGAGATGATAAATAGGGACTGGAGAGATCAGTTAAGAGAATTGGCTGCTCTGGAGGACCCACACAACCGCTAACAGCTTTTCATAACTGCATTTCCAGCAGATCTGATGCCTTCTTCTGGCCTCGCTGGGCATTGTATGGTTTGAGTGCACTTGTATAGATGTAGACAAAATACATAAACTAAAAATAAATAAAAGTTTAAAAATAAAAGAAGTTAAAAAAGGACAAAATTCTTTTGATTTCAACACATCCTCTTCTAATTTTTCTCTAGTTTTGTAACACAAGCAGCATTCAAGAACGTGAGTTGCTCTGGCCATTAACCTACTGAGGTGCATTAACCTGGCAAAACTAGGTTGCCCAGTGATCATCAGAGTGTTATCTGCAAACCAGGTGTTGTAGCATACACCTGTATTTCTATCACTTGAAGGAGGCAGTGATAGGATTACCACAAGTTCTAGACCAGCCTGGTCTACATAGTATGTCCCTAGGCCAGCCAGGTCTACATAGTAAGACTCTGTCTCAATCAATCAGTCAGTCAATAAGTAGGTAAGTAAATAAAGCTGTCTACTGTACTTGGAGAACTTGGAGCCACCCTGATAGAAACAACTTTTGTGAAAACAGTATGCTACTGCTGAGGCCCTTGAACACTTACTTGGTATTCTTCTTCCAATACAGCCCCATACAGAGCTAGGTCATTAGCTTCTATACTTGTGCAGTTTAGATTATCGTGGCTAGTTGATTTGATGGTTTTGTTTACCAACTACATTCTGAATCTTCTGTGCATCCCAGTCAGCTTTTGATCTATGCTAAACTGTTTTATTGTGTTATTCAGAGGCATGACTTAATTTGTTCATATACTCAAGGTTTCCTGTGAGCATTGTATCTTTCTACTAATGTGATATTGCTTTCTCCTAAAATACTTAAGTATTTGCTGTTGGGGTCTCTTTTCTGTTGGAAGGCAGCTCTCGCTGTCCTGTGGTGCTAGGCTTTGCCTGTCCCTCCTTCTCTTGGGCTTCTCGGACTCTGCTTGCCAATATGAGGGGCTTCCCTCATTGGGTAAAGTAGTGACTTTCTGACTAAGTCATAGCTAGAAGTGAGTATCCTCCCTCTGTTGGATGGTCAGTCACATGGGTGTCATGATTTCAAAAAAGAACCCCTCTCCTATGGGTATCTTTTCTGAGTGCCTACCTCTGGCTCTCGATTCACACCAAGCCTCCTGAGGGTAATGCAAGACAAACAAGAGGTGTGAAACACCTGTGTGCAGGCACTGGGAAGCTATGGAGGCAGGGGAGTCACAGAGCTAGAGCCCAAGAAGCGGGGTAGGGGGGCAGCAAAGAGGTACCTGGCATTCAGGATCGCTCTTCCTCACAAGAGGTTTGCTGAATGTCAACATTCAGGCTGAGAGGCAGAGAAGTGAAGCACAGCTTCCAGAATCCCAGCTCCTTTTTTAAACAAAAATGAGCAATCCCTTTAAACCCAAAGCTGCATGATGAACAACCCTGCTGTAGATTAGAAGGGATGGAAGTTATATGAGAGATGGTACCTTTCCCCTCAGTACCATCTCTGTGTAAAGAGTGGCTCAGTAACCATGGTGATCACCTAGCAGCCTATCCATCCCTTCAGGGCTAGGTGAAGTAAAACATCTGGGGCTATAGCACTTATTGTCTGTGGCCATTCACGATAACAGTGACAGTGACATTTATTTACTTGTTTGAATATGCATTATATTATAATGCTTATTTTATGGGCATATTTGTTAGCTAAATGACGTACACTCTCAGCAGAACTTTGTGAAATTAAATCATCATAGCCAAATCTGGAAGTCTCTGCCTATTTATAAAGCTGGCATTATAGAACCAACCCTGTTGTTATAGATGTCAAATAACTGAACAGTTCTCCCTCCGATTTATTTATAGCATGTTATGTCAAACTAAAATGTATGCTTTAAAAAGGCAAAAACATTCTTTTAGCAGCACTACAAAAGTGACATTAAATTCTCAAGCATATGAGCAAATGAATATATAATAAAAACTACCTGAAACCCAGTTGTTTGAAACTCCCTACAGTTGACGCTTAGGGACTATTTGAAAATTATAGGATTCCTGTGGACAGAAGAGCTAAAAATAAGAGAACTTAAAAACCATTTTTTTTTCTCTTAAATAAATATGCTACTTGCTAGCAAAAGAGGTAAAATTTATTATTCACAAATATTTGCTTAGGGCTTGCTTACTATGTCAGAGTACAGTAGGTCCCTTTATACATGGTGTAATGCTGTGTACAAAGACAGACTCAAACAGCTAAATGGATGGAAGCCTGAAAAAAAGCAAGAAGTGTGCAAAGTTTCCTTACTGACCTCAAAGAATTTATGGTCAATTTGGACAGACAAAAAAAAAAATAAATTTGTTTATCATTTAGTGTTTACAATTAGTGTTTTAGACAAATGCTGTGATATTCAGTGCAAACCACTGGGGGATATAATTCCTTGAAATATTTTCTAGAAAGAAGCAGAACTTGAGCTCTAGTGCTGATAAGGAATAGAAATGGAGGAAGAGACCAGTGTAGGAGAGAGGAGGTCAGGAAGAAGGCCAATTAGTTTCAGATCCTTCTGGATGGGAGCTGTGAACATTCACCACTGGGGACTGGATACAAAGGGGACGACTGTAGATGGATGTGGGGAAGTTGATGCTACACAGGCTGATTACCAAAGAAAAGTCCACAGGCATTCTGTGGATACCAGGGCCCCAGTAGAGCTATTCTTAGCAGGGGGATTACATAATGAATTTATTGCACTATGGAAAGCATTCAGCAGCACATCACTGTATGAAGTGTTAGTCAATGAAGAGTCCAGAGCAGTCCGCGCAGTGAGGGACTGGTTGTACACGAGGACCTGAAATATCTGTGGTGACTTCAGAAGCACAATGGGAGAGACACCCGACTTTGAGATCTTCAGCCCTGGCCTCTCCTACCTTCGCATCTCGTGTCTGTCATACAAACAGCTGCATCATTGAGACTTAGGAAGACTTCATTGCTTTTGATTTCCAGATCTTACCATTGAAGGAAAACAAAAATAAAGTTAAATGGGAAATTTTGGCTTTGGTAATTTTGGATAATCTTGGTGTTACTGACATAGAAAGTTTGTAAGAGCAAATGGTTTTTGAGAAGATAAGCCTATTCTGGACAGGCTGTGTTTGAAGAGCTCTTGAGATAACTTTTCCTAATGTTAAGAGAAAATGTGCTCCCCAAGAAAGGAAAGCAAGTGCATCTTGCAGGCCTCTTATGTAGGAGATGTGGCCTAGGAAATCTTTACTCCTTTTTACGACCAAAAGAAGTTTGTCTTCCTTTATGGATGCCTCAGCTTTTACTCATTAAGCATTTATTGTGGGTCTGAAAACTTTGACGTCTGATGTTGGCACAGTTTACTTGTCTTAGACTTTACCTGGAAACATGAGAATTTTAACAGGAAAGTTTCTTTACTTGTGTGATATATTTCACAAAGCCTTTGACACTGTACACAAAATCGTGAACATATTCTTGGGGGAAAATATCCACAATCATCAAGCTCGTCATGGTGGATGCCTTTAATCCCAGTACTCAGGAGACAGAGACAGGCAGGTCTCTCTGAGTTCTAGGCCAGCCTTGTCTACATAGTGAGTCAACCTTACTGATGTTTTCTTGATTTTCGGATTAGAAGTCTTCCCAGAGCCCCAAGCCAACACAGAATAATTTGAGGGGGATCTACCCAATTTCAAGATGAGAGGCCACTGTTCTAAATGTCCCTCCCTCTCACATTAAAAGCAATATTTTTATTGAATCGTTGAGAATTTCATACAGTATATTTTGATTGTAGTCAGACCTGCCTCCCCGTCTCCACCCTTGCCTTATGCCCCCCTTTCTGTCCTCTATTATTTTTTAAAAGCTATTGAGTCTAACTTGTGTTCCTCAAATGTGGCTGTGGTTAGCCTCCCCAGCATCACACTCTTAGAGAAAACAGGCTCTCACTCTCCCAGCAGCTGTCAGTTGCCAATAGCTCCTCAGAGGAGCTGCTGCTTCCAGCTCTCCTCCCACATCCGGGTCTTGTGCGTGGGCTCACAGGCACTTTGGGTTCATATGTACAACTGCCCTGTGGTGTCTGAAAAGCAAAGGTTCCTTGTATTCATTCATCTATCACCTCTGGTCTTACAGTCTCAATACCTACTCATTTATTTGAGCTCGACAGTGAGATACTCCACAATAAGATCGAGATGCTTATAGTGAAATTGAGAATGCTTCTTTTCCTCACTTAAAAATTCCTT